TAAACAATGGAAAACTTTGCAAGAAAATTTAACTTATAGAAAGGTTAAGACCCTAAGAACAGATAATGGACTAGAATTTTGTAATAAGGAATTCCATGATTATTGTGCTGAAGTTGGAATACAAAGGCATAGGATGGTTAGGAAAACCCCTCAGCAAAATGAGGTTGCTAAAAGGATGAATAGAACCCTACTAGATAAATCTAGGTGCATGTTATTCCATTCTGGGCTCCCTAAGAGTTTCTGGGGTGAAGCTGTGGTCACAGCAGCCTACTTAGTAAATAGAGCCCATCAAGTGCCATAAAATTCAAAACACTTGAGGAGGTTTGGAAAAACAAGCCTCTAGACCTTTCACACCTAAGAACCTTTGGATGTACAGCTTATGCACATCAAAAGGAAGGCAAATTAGACCCTAGATCAATAAAATGTGTGTTCTTGGGCTATCATGAGGGCACTAAAGAATATAGATTGTGGGTAAGAGATGGCAAATGATTCAAAACAATAAATAGCAGGGATGTTATATTTAATGAAAATGTATTTCCATGTTTGCCTAACTTTATTGTCTCCACAGGAAAAAGTGTTTCTATTACTAACCCTGCAGGTACCGTAGAAAGCCAAGTTCAGGTGGAGCCTTAAAAGGGCTATACGGATCAGGTGGAGCAAAGACAAGACGGGACACCATAAATTAATTATGGGAACAACTCAGATGAACCTGATTGGCAGCTACAATCTACAGAATAATCCACTTCCGAACAGGAGCATAATACATCTCAATCTAATGACTATGTTCTAGTCAGGGACAGGCCTAAAAGAGTGTCTAAGCCAACCCAAAGATATGGTTTTACAGCCTACTCTGATCTTATAGCTTATGCATTCATGACAGCAATAGAGCTAGACAAGAAGGAACCAGACACCTACCAAGAAGCAATCAAATGTCAGGAGTCAAATAGGTGGGTGACAACCATGAAGGAAGAAATGACCTCTCTATATAGGAATGGAACTTGGGTCATGGTTCCAAGGCCAAAGGATCAATCAGTGGTAGCCTGCAAGTGGATATTCAAGATCAAAGAAGGAGCCTCGGATGGAGAACCATTCAAGTATAAAGCAAGGTTAGTTGCCAAGGGGTTCACACATAGAGAAGAAGTTGATTTTACTGAAGTTTTCTCACATGTGGTTAAGTATAAAACCATAAGGATTATGCTCTCTTTAGTGACACAGTTTGATTTAGAACTAGAGCAAATGGATGTCAAAACTGCCTTTTTACATGGTGAACTAGAGGAAAGCATCTTCATGGAGCAACCGGAAGGCTTTGAAGTCTACAAAGGAAAGAACATGGTTTGTCTATTGAAGAAATCATTGTATGGGCTCAAACAATCGCCTAGACAATAGTACAAAAGATTTGATACTTTCATGGTCACACAAGGTTTCCAAAGGAGTTGGTATGACTCCTGTCTTTACTTTAAGGGCTCAAAAATACTAGAAGCCGAATATCTACTATTATATGTAGATGATGTGCTTTTGATATGTAAGGACATGACTAAACTAGAGAAGATGAAAGGGATGCTCAAGTCAAAATTTGACATGAAGGACCTTGGACCTGCTGGTGGGATTCTGGGAATGAAGATCAATAGAAACAAAGACAAAGGGACCCTATTTTTAAATCATAAAGGCTACCTGGAGAAGATGATTGAAAAGTTTTCCATGAAGGGAGCAAAGCCCACCACTCAGACTATAACCAACCAATTCCAATTATCAGCTTTACAGAGCCCTAAAACAGATGAAGAGAAGAAATATAAGGAAACTGTTCCATATGCAAATGCAATAGGATCAGTCATGTATTCCATGGTTTGTACTAGGCCTGACTTGGCATTTGCCATAAGTACCTTGAGCAGATACATGGCTAATCTTGGGAAGGAACATTGGCATGCAATGAAGTGGTTATTAAGGTATATTGCTAGAACAATGGAGTACGGTCTGACGTACAAGAAAAATGGCAGCAAGGTGAGCATTGAAGGTTTTGTGGATTCGGACTATACAAGAGATAAAGATAGCAGAAGGTCTACAACTTCCTACTTCTTTGCAGTAAATGGAAACTGTGTTCGCTGGAAAACTCAATTACAACCGGTTGTGGCACTCTCAACAACTGAAGCAGAATATATGGCTGCAACAGAAGCAATCAAGGAAGGAATTTAGTTATAGGGACTTCTGAAAGAACTGAAGCTGATGGAAGGAAATGCCACTGTCTTCTCAAACAGTCAAAGTGCTATCCACTTATGCAAGAACCCTGTTTTTCATGACAGGACCAAACACATTGAAGTAAAGTATCATTTTCTCAGGGAGAAGGTTTCTCAGGGAGTGATAAGTGTGGAAAAGGTTTCCACAGAAGATAACCCGGCAGACATGGGGACAAAGGTAGTTACACTAACCAAGTTTAAGCATTGTCTTAAACTGCTTGGTATTGAATATGGGTGATTGAAGAGTTAAATCGAGCAAGGATCCAAAGGAATCATGAAGTGATATGCACTACCTGGTCATACATAGAATTGAGGTAGAGATTGTTGAATCAATTCTTTTATGACTTAGTTTTAATGTTTGATATAAGCAGTCTTTACTGTAGACAGAAACGACTTGTCGTTTCTGCTGGGATGCAAAACTCGGGAAGCTGTTGAAACTGATGTGGACAAGTGAAGCACAGGTGGCAGTGGCTTACTAGACCGTCTTACTTGGACTCCAGATAAGAGAAATGGTTTCGTATGTAATTCATTTTCATTATTCATTTTTTTCTTCTTCTTTCTTCGAGAGCATTCCAGAGTGTGAGAGAGAAAAACTTATACAGAAAACCCTAGAGTGAGAGAGGCAGTATAGAGCGAGAAAGGTGAGAGAAAAGGGTAATTTCTCAGGGGAAATTTCTTGCTCAGTTTCTTAGGAAAGTGTAAGGGTGTGATTTGAGAAAGTTTGTAACCCTCGTGTAAAGACTTTGTTCTTATAGTGCATATTAAATTTCCTCTAGAGAGTTTGCGGAGAGTAGGCAATTTTTGTGCTGAACTCCAAGATCAAATTTTGTGTTCTTGTTCTTGTTTTTCGTTTATTTGATTCTTATTGAGATTAGGATATATTTTTCAAGTTGTTATGTGGTTATCAAAATTTTGCAGATGGCACAGTGGCACCAGCAGCAGGCAGCCGTCATAGGCCTGGACTGCCACGCAGCCATGGTGGAAAGGCAAATCCGTATAAAAAACCACCAAACGCGGCCACGGTGGAAAGGCAAATCCGTATAAAAAACCACCAAAGTGCCGGAACAAGCACAAGTGCCCGCCTAATTCAAGCCCTTGAATTAGAGACCGACCATATATATATACTGTGACAATAAAGTCACGATTATGTGACTACTAGTTGTCAGCTACTGCAATATATAGCATGTGTCTGCTTAGTTATAGTAATATATATATATATATATATACCATATATCGTGCAAGCCAGTACATGTTAAGAATATTAAGGAGACAAAATGTGTGGTTGGATTATGGATTAATGTTTGCCAGCAAGGGCTTCAAGGCTTGCAGCGTGTTTAAACGTTTGTTGTGTAATGGAAAACTGTACTGTAATATCAGTATACTACTCCATAACAAATAAATAAATAGCTGACTTATACGTCAGTGGTTTGTACATCTCTTAATCGGACTGACTACACCTCTTCTTTTAATTAAAAAACTTTTTCCAAATTTTTTTTAGAATAAAGAGACAAATTAACCCCTTAATTTGCACGGTCTTGATTTTTATAATTTATTTTTAATTAATATCTTTTTTAATCATATAGCTATATTAATCAAAAGGATATTAAGAAAAATAAGAGGTAAAAATTGAGACCCATACAATTAAGGGTAAACTCAATAATTTTCTCTTTTTTTGATGCACAAATTGAAACAGTCCAAAGTCGATATATACCTTCGATTCTTCATGTACTTTTTCCGATTAGTAACTATACATTTCTCGATGAGGAAGACAAAATCGAGCTTGATAAGAATTAAATCTAACTCTTTTGAAATGGAAACATATGTGTATCTAAGAAAAAATATATGTTTATTTATTTATCTATTTATTTGAGATGGAAACACATATGTGTATCTATAATAGAAAGATAAAGATTAAAAATGAATAGATCAAATGAAAAGAACATATTTAGAATTAAATCTGACTCTTTTGAAATGGAAACACATATGTGTATCTAAGTAAAAATGTATCTATTTATTTGAAATGAAAACACATATGTGTATCTATAATAGAAATTAAGATAAAGATTAAACATGAATATATGAAATGAAAATAACATATCTTACTAAGAAATTTAGTGAGGAGGTAAACAGCTTTTCTCTTTAGGAACAAAATATAAATTAAATGACAATTTTTTAATAAATTAGTAAATAGAATTAAATTTGGGATTTACTTTATTTACTCCACCTAAAATTTGATAAATCAGGGATTTATTCATATTTATCCTTCGGCCAAATTTAGTACATTCAGGACTTATCGGATTTTTCCATTTATAAATTTAATAAATTCCTGTTAGCCTACATTTACCTAATATGATCAAATGTAATAAATTCAATATTTCTCTTCAAAAAAAATTATAAATTATTAATAACTTGTTAATTTACTATTTTTTAGTAGATAAAGTCTTTTTACCGTACTTATAATCTTTTTTTCAGAAGTAAAAATTTTATCAATTAACAATGTAGCCAAAAATATTATTTACGAAAATCTTCTTTTTTCAGACTTTTTTTTTTTTTTTTTTTTTGTGGAATATTTGTTGACAAATTTACTCGCTTTAATTCCCTCAAAATTTAAAGGGAAAAATAAAAGGAAAAGAGAACACAATCAAGCCGTTCATCATATAGCATAGACCAATCCCCGCGGTCCACAAATCGGTCCGGTCGAGCCGCAACAAACTGGTTCATTATTAACCGGATGGACCGTTCGAAAACAAACCGTTCGCGAAAAGCACTACAAAATCGATTCCCAAATTTCAGAGAGGGTAAACGGAAACCCTAACTCTCGCAGATCCGAAAGAAGAAGACGCTAAGCAAAGTAGATCGCCATGGATTCAGTTGCTCGAAGAACAGGCGGAGGCCTTTTCGAAGGCCTTTACAGAGTGATTATGCGGCGGAACTCCGTCTACGTCACCTTCATCATCGCCGGTGCTTTCCTCGGAGAAAGAGTGAGTACCAAATATAGCCATGGCGTTTTTTTTGGGTTTCGAATCGTTCTCTTTTGTTTCTTCTCTCCCACAAAAAAATCTCTGCTTGCGATGAAACCCGAGAATCTCAGAAGAAAATGAAATCCTTCATTGATCCGATCAGAATTTTGTTTTTTTGTTTTTCTAAATTTTATCTGTGATTGAAAGTTAGGGTCGATTCTAATGCTCCGGAGAAATGGACACCGTGGAATATCAGTAGATTGGATAGGGAATAAAAATTGAAAAAAAAAAAAACGTTTCTTTTTGTATATCCAACAATAGCGAACAATTCATCTCCATGACCACGCCTAAAACTGAGTTTTGACCTAACGTAGATTTAGAAGGACAGTTTTTTTTTTTTCTATTTGCGTTTATGCAATAAAAATATTTCATTGGTTTTTTTATATTTTAGTTTTGTACATTATTGTTGGTATAATTGCCAGGTTTATATTGCTTTTCTGTTCATGAATTAACGTGAAGTCGTTTCATATGAGTTAGCTCTATGTGTGAAGTGTCGTTTGGTCTAAAGTTGGTTCTATTGACAGAAGAAAAATGGGTATTGCCATGAGAGTTGATTCATCAATTATTCATATATAGTTTTCTCTGGTTGCAGGCTGTGGATTATGGAGTTCATAAGCTCTGGGAATACAACAATGTTGGGGTATGTTGCATCTTTTGCTTATAGATTTATGTTCTTTTACCATTTTGATCATGACCATTTTCTTTTCTTTGTGTAATCATCTTTTCGAAGAGCTTCTAGATCATTGGAAATCATAGAGTGTTGCATTACACAGTCAATATGTTTGGCATACTGATCTGTTAGTAATAATAGGTTATTTATTATCTTTTAGGCGTATCACTTCCGTTAATTGTTTTTCTTTGTGCTATTTAATTTCGAAAGCTGGGTTTGATTGACTAGGAAGTACTAAGTAGTTTCGATGAGAAAACATGCGGCTGAACTTGAGATTTGATAGCAATAATATTGTGTGATGGATCCTTTTACTAGTGCCAACTTCAATTTGAGTTTATTTTGTTCTATTGATGCAGAAACGATACGAAGACATTCCGGTTTTGGGGCAAAGGCAGTCAGAAGAATGAAGTTTCTAATCTCTCTTTGACTATTTCATAGTTTTCACACCTCTGGAAAGAGTATGCAATTATGCACTTTGTAGTAAATTCCAATTTTTGCAATAAGCATTTCTCTGCATTGATCATATTTCTTAATGATGGTTACATTGAATATGGAGTTTGGAGTTGTTGCTAAGTTTGAATTCTGTTATTACAACGAGGAGCATTGTTTTGTTTGGCTTCTGATCTGATTTTGGCCTACTTACTCCCTGTACATTTTCTTTTTCTCTTATTTATTCTTGCATACGCCCTTAAAGTCTTAAATTTGATGAAACCGTCTAACAAAAAAAAAAAAAAAAAGGAGTTCATTACCCATCTTGGTCTCGTCGTTCTTGTGCTATAAGCTGAAGTTTCTGAAAAGATCTATATTAACCTTAAGGTTAACCTTTTGAATTGTGCAATTTTGATGGTAGTTTTGTTGCCTAACTATATCCAGACTCCATACTTGTGGCGCATAGCTTATTGCAGACTTTCAGACCTTTAACTGAGTTTCTGGGGTGCAAAATATGCCTTTGAAGCATAATTTTAGTCAATTACTTCTCTTGGCAAGAGATTTTATTTTTATTTTTATTTTTATTATTTTTTGTTTGCTGCAAACTTCTCTTGACAAGTTGTTTCTCAATTCTAATATTCATAAGATCTAAAAGCGTTTGCAACTCAACCAGCAATCAAGTGCACTGTTTTTATTAGCAATACCGTTGCCGTCTTTCAATTCTTTGAGTGGTACGCAAATTGAATTAATATCTCTGCATGAGAAGTGGTAGCCCATGTGATTACCAAGCTCTATCAATTACTCTGTAATTGTGACCGCATAAGAAATTGTATCAAGTTCAACCTGGAAAGAAGAAATGTGATTTTAGAAATTATTGATGGTCTTGATTCAAAATTACTCTCAAAATTAATTTATACACGTACCGTATTAGACAAAGCATGCTGTCAAGTAGACATCTGTCAAATATATTCTTGGCATCTTTAGATATTCTATGCATTTATTGATGTGATAATAAACAAATTTAGGAAGAAATGGCCATTCTTCCTTTCCCAGTTCCTAGAGAGCTACTTACTGACAACAGTATAAGACCTGCGGATGCTGGCTTACTCTAACAGGAGTGAGAGTAAAGATTATTTGTTGGGAACAGACTCTGATTGGTGCTCTCAACAATTTTTTTACGCCATTGTGGTTATGCGCCCTATTGGGTTTTCACTTTTCTGATGCTCTATTGTTAAAGGTACTCTTCTAGCTGCTAATTAGCATGTTTGGATTTCTCCCGAGCTGAATTGTTTAGTTCATAATGTTACTGACGGATGGCAAATGACGCATGTGGTGTAGATGTGTGGAAATGTGGATAATCTGTATCAATTGCCAATTTCAATCTAATTGAACATAAGATGATAAAAGCTCAACTATGAGATGAGACTGACTTTTAACCCCTCACTCTTGATTAGGTAAAAATTTAAACTCATGCACTCTAAAAGGAGTATTTGTCTTTTTTCCTCACAAATATATAACGAAAAGCATGCACATTTTCCAGTGACAAGTGATAGATACAATACAACACAAACCAATGTTAACGCTCAAAATGGGGGGAAAAATCATTAAACTCGAGCTTACATAGTAAAATGTGATAATCGGTCGTAATCACCAATTTCAATCCAATTGATACAAGATGTACTTTCAAGTCTCAACTATGAGACAAGCATAGCAGAGAGAGAGAGAGAGAGAGAGAGAGAGAGAGAGAGAGAGAGAGAAGAGAACAAATCTCAATAACAAGTAGTTGGTACAATACAAGCCTCCTGTTATATAAATAACAATGTAAAACGAATGAACATGGGTTTCTGCGACTCTTGTTCTAAAAAATTGGACGTTTATCCTCTACAGCTGAAGGAGATTATTGTCAATTAATCGCAGAGCTACAGTTTCACCACAAAAGAGCTTTTACAACTGCACCCGCCAACTGCACTTGGATTTGTAGTCACCTGTAGATGAAACCGTAATTAATCTATCCGCTGCAAGACTATTTAGACAACCATGCAAGATGACTCCCAATTTCTCAGAGGAATCAAACGAGGCAACATAAACCATATGCAGTACCATTATTAAAGATTCCCGAAACATGGGAGACCTCAACAGAATTTACAACCCTCTACTGATTCAATTGAAATAATCTAATGGTTTGTGATTTTCACACTTTTTCCACCAAAATATAGCGTCACTTCAATTAAACTAGTAGGATTTGTGCCATAAATTCCAAAGATAACTCATCGAAATCATATCGTTGAATAGATTAATACTAGTTGTCACCCCACTGGTTATGTAACCAAATAGAGATTGTTATGTAAGGCTGTGTAGGACCCCATACCAGCATAATCAATGGGTCGCAGAGTTGACATGTCACTTTACGATTGATTGAAAAAGTGTGGTGATGATCATTGTAAATAGCATTGCTCCTTTGAATAGGTTATAGGACAATTAGTATCATGCATCCACAAAGAATAAAGCTAGAGCGCATTTTTGGTGTTGTTCACCACCCCAACTGGCGCCTACACGTCAGCTGACGTGGGTTTTTGAAAACAAAAGTGTAAGCCATAACACGTATTGGTTTTATAAAATCTAACAAGGGAGAGCAAACCACAGTGGATTTGCAGGCCAGGAAATGCATATCAAGAGTCTTCTCTATGTAAATCAGACGAAAATTCAGCAGATGGATTCTTGATCCTAAACCACTTGCCAGCCTAAACCAGTTACCGGCATGGAAAAGCTTATGAAACAACCACACAATACTAGCAGTGGTTTATTAGTTGCAGCCAGGCCACTACATTAGATCGCCTAAGTCATTTTTGACCATTCAGGCACATGTTTTTGGTAGTGGTCTCAATTCAGAAAACCGTACCCTACTAAAATCAATGATAGCCATATAAAATCAGAATACAACCTAAGATAAGGCTGCCTCGAGGCACAATGCGAATAATTGGAATGCAACTGTTAGTTAACAGAGGTATTTTTTCTCAGCAAGAAGAACTGACTTACCACAAAAGCTGAACGAATAAGCTCCTCAACATAATCAACTGTTGCCCCTTTTACAAAATCATATGAGATATTGTCCACAATCAATTTGACTCCTTCAGTCTCAAAAAACCTTTTTTCATAGGACAAAGGATAGAAAAGTTAGAAAAAATAAAATTTCAGGATTTTTGAATTTTGAATACCTAAACTTCTAACCTGATAACCTAAGGAAGCAAATAAGCGTCTCAAAGTTAAAGGAAAGAACCTGTCGTCTGGGTTAGCTATGTCATCCAGATCAAAAACATATTGGAAACCAGAGCATCCCCCCGTTTCTACACTCAAGCGAAGCATCTTCTCTCCTGATAATTCGTCACTAGCTTGTAGTTCTTTCATTCTCTGTATGACATGAAATGAAATTTCAACACAACAAATAGTTCCATAACTAAAAAAATATGAATAAAAAACATAATTTTTGGAAAACTTGGGTCACAATATTATAGTGCAAGAGCTGCAATTATGAGGGTCATGAGCAACTTCAATTGAACAAAAATTTTGTATTAAATGCCAAAATATTATAGAACAAAAAACCTTCTTCATTAGTATCACAAGTAGGCAAAACAATCCAATCTTAAATCTCGTATTTTTATGCATAGCAACTTTCCAGCACAATCCAAGTCCCATAAAGTAGAAGGAAATTTTCAAAAGAATTGCAAAATAAATAAATAACTAAAATCACTTTTTTCCTTCTATTTCTCTTCCGAACCCCTTTCTTCCATTTTCCTCGCACCCGAATGAAACAAAATCGCAATCAAAGGGAAAATCCCAAAAAAGATCTCAAATTGATAATACAACAACGGCAAACCAATCAAATGAAATTAGAAAGTATTACTGAACGAAAATGAAATTGATAGTAAAGAAGAGGAATAGTACGCGAACACAATTCTCTGTAATATGAACGGCATCGGAAGACGGAGACGATTCAGACGAAAAAGAAGCTTCGCGAAGAGCAGAGGAAGAAGCGGAGCTGAGGAGTCTGTGGTTCCGTTGGATTTGAGCGGTGACGTACGACGTAAAGCGGCGGAGAATCAACGATCTCGATGACGCCATGGCTGACTTACGCCATTAAAATGAATAAGCTTTTCGTTTCTGGGTTGTTCTTTGTTAAATTCCTCAAAGTACAAAGTCGCTATTTTTTTCCTTTTTTTTTTTTTTTTTTTTAATTTTGCTGAATAAAGTACAAACTCCGCTATTTGATATCGCCGTTTTAAGAAAAGGCGCGTGGCGAACATAAACAAGGCTGACCCATGTCCGCGTCACGTGCTTCGATTTTTGACCTCGTGATTCTTCTTTCTACTTAAATGTCATTCTTGCCAATTCATTTCCCTCTCTTAGGTGATAGAGGGATTCATTTTCTGATTCGAATTATAATTTGTGGTTCATTGTAGTATTTTCTCTCATAAAAAATATACGTAAATCAAAAATAATTTTAATCACATAGTTCTAATCTATAAACCAAACGGACTCTTAACTTACCTTTATTGTCCCTCATGCGTGCGTGCAGCGATAGAGCCACTCCCAAGGGCTCCTTTTAACTTTTGTCCCTAAAAAACTATTCTTACACTGTAATCTTCTAAATTTTATAAGGATATTTTGTACAAATGGTCTTCAATTTTTTTAAAAATTGATAGTTTTTTTTTATAAAACGACCCTTAACTTATTTAATAAGTTGTAATTTCATTTTTTTTTTTTTTATCAATTGTAGTGCACGTGAAAATCACGTGACTCATGTTGTCGCTGAAAAGACGAAAATATCCTTAATTACAAAGGAGCATTAAGAACTAATTTGAACGAACTCTTTCAAATGTTTGAACCTGCTAAAAAGGCTTACAAAGCTGCGAGGAAGGACAGTGACCACGCTGCCGGGATGGCTCTGAGTGACGAGGCTTCTTCAGCACTTGCAGACAGGGTAATTAAATTTGAGGGAATTTTGAGTTTGATAAGCTTCATATTCCTTCTTCTGATATTATTTATTTATTACTTTTTTTATACGTGCAAATGTCAGGTTAATGCTATGCTGCAAAAGCTAGAAAAGGAAATTGATGATGTTGATGTAAAAATTGGGGATCGCTGGCAGTTGCTGGACAGGTTTGTTTGTTTCCCTTCTCCAACAATTTTTAGAGAAGTTTTTTGGCATAATTCAGCCCAAGTGATCTTATAAATCAGCTTTTGAAATTAGACTTTGGCTTTGTTTTGACATTTCTTTGGTTCTGCACGGGATTGGATTGTTTTGAAATCTCATTTGGGAACCTCAGTTTTCCTTTTTGATGATAAATTGTTATATGGGTTTTGTAGTTTTGGGGTTTTCTGTGATAAATTGTTAAGTGGGTTTTGCAGATTTGGGGTTTGTCATTTAGGTAAAGGTTTTTTTTTTGGGTGTTCTAAGATAATTTGAATAACATAATTGTAATTAAGGGCATTTTCGTCTTTCCAGCACTATACTGTTACCTTTTGGACGACAATTGATGGAAATGATGAGATTGCACATTTTTAAATAGGTTGGAGGTCGTTTTATTAAAAAAAATGTTAAGGATCAAACTGTCACATTTTAAAAAGATTTAGGATCAAACTGTCACCTTTTTAAAAAGGTTTGGGATTATTTGTGCAAATTACCTATTTTATAAATTATAACTATTTTTACATTTGTTTTTGTTGTGCCAAATGTCAAGTTAAACAGATTTTTAATAAAATATAAATAATAGAAAGATTTAAAAAATTCAAAAATTTAAGTGGTTCGGCTTTTGGCTTATATGTACGGGTAGAAACGGTGAAAAATTCATCTATAAACCAAAAGAGATAACAAAGTCAGAGAAATATCTCCTATTATCCAAATCTAAAATACACCTGTTAGATCTATTTTTTGTAATTATTTTATCAAGCTAAATTAAGAGACTATGAATGCAATAATTAAATAGGCACAGAGAATTGATATCGCGGTTTGGTAGTCATCTACATCCGCAAAGTCACGTCCAGATATTGAATCATCCACTAATTCTCAACAATTACAAACACCAATTGGACTTATACAAATCAAGACTTCTTCTTTGAATTTGTCGCCATTACGCCCATATATTGAATCATCTACTAATTCTCAACGATTACAAACACTAATCGGACTTATACAAATAAAGACTCTCTCTTTGAATTTGTTGCTTTTGTGTAGAAACTAGATAACCTGATCAGCAAACACTACTCGTCTTCAAAACTACCCGACGAAAACCCTTCGTCTAGTAGGTCGCTCTCTTCTAAAAGCTTCAAATTCTTCTCCTGAAGAAAGATAAACTATTGAACTCCCTTTAACATTGCAAACGTCTTCGCCCGAAGACTACTACTTCTTCTCCCAAAAAATGATAAATTGTTGAACTCCTTTCAACACTGCAAACGTCTTCTCTCGAAGAATGATAACGGAAACTTCTAAAAACATTATACATGACACCCAAGAAGCGTACAAAATGAATGGTATTAAGTCCTATTTATAGAGTAGTAGACGTTTATCTCCAAACTTATTCAAAATTTAAACCGTCGCACAATTGATTCCACGACTTATTGTAACACTATCTGATCTTCACTTTAAAATTTGAACTTAGTATTGTGCCTTATTTTCTCTACTCTTATCACCATACAATCTTTATCCAATACACGTATGGAAAGGCTTTAAAATATATCTCAATTTATTCAAGTCTTATCATAACCGGATTTTAACTTAATCAAATCATCTAGTGAATTACATATATCAAACTAAATCCGGATTTACACTTGGACTTGTACACTATTATTTTATCTTCATTGCAATTCAAATACTAAACATCCCCTTTTCTAAATTCAAATCTAAGGCATAGCTTCTACTGCAATCCTTTTTATGACTTATCAAAACTACTCAACTCGAAATGAATTGCAACTTGAATTCAAACCCGCAAAAGCAAATCTTTTGACCTTTAAACCATAGCTGCTATATCTATTTTGTTGAAACTGCATCCTTATCTCTGTAAATTTACAACACAATCAAGTCTGCTCAAATATCACGATCAAGGCTGCATCAATTTTTTCTTCACCTGTTTTTTGAAGTTTTATAAGATTGCTGATTAATTATCAACTAATAAAAATACTTAACAATACCAAAAATCTCTCAACCGAAAAATAAAAACCCTGATTGTTAAAGAAATAATTCTATGACTGATGTTGAGAAATAAAAATCGGGATGAGAGAGAAGAAAGTGATTATTATGCTCGTCTTGAAACTTCTCGTAGGCTTCACTTATTTATAATCTGTTTAAGTGTGAAAGGCAAGAGCTCTTTTTTTTTTTTTTTTTTTTGGTAAATAATTAAAGGCAAGGAACTCAGGAGGAGATTTTCCGCTTTTTTTTTTTCGTCAAAAAGTCATCGTTGAACCAGTCTCCAGAGTAACTTAAAATTTCCAACAAAAGGACAAAGACTTGATCAGCAAATGGATGAAGTTCTAGTGGCCCCATTGCTTTCAATACCGAATTACCAATTCTGGTGATTGTTATGTATGCCCTCTTAACGTCTAACCCAAGAAAACAAGAGAATTTTACGGGGTTTTTTTTTTTCACTGCATAGCATTATTTATAGCAGTTTTACGTCCAACAATAAACTCATTGGAAACTGCAACGTTCTGTTATGAACTTCCAGTCAAACCCAGTCAAGCTATATACTAGAACTCTGTAATCCCTATCTACTTCATTCTAAAGTCTTTTCAAATTTTACCTTCTCTCGGCCTGTAGTACCACTCTAGTAATTCTACTCAGTGACAAAGTCAAGAATTTAAGTCGGGAGGGGGTCTTAACTACAATAAAATTTTAATTAAACTCATCAATTATGAATATACTACAATTGTCCGTGACTGGTTTTCATACCTTCAAAATGTTACATAATAGTCTCATTATCAACGTTATTTGAAAATGTCTTTTTCGGTGTACTTTAGTAAAATATCATTGATTAACTAATCTCCTATTCGATTGCATAGCGAATATTCTCAACATTCATGTAACTTTGATCATTAGATTGAATTGATCTGTATCAATTTTCAATTTGAGAAATCTCTATATCAGGAGATTTGATAGCTTGGTTAACTTAATTACTCGATTATGTGATTGTAATTTGTATTTGTTTGGAGTTCATGCGTAGTGCTATATTTACTTGTGAATTCTCTCTGTAGCATATTGTTGAATCATGCTAAACTTTTGTGTTCTCTCTTTTTTTATGATCTTTTTTAATTAAAGTTGATAATAAGCAGTTTATTTTGGCGGACTGATCATGAATATCTATAACGACATGATACACTAAGGTGTTTGTTGATAATCTTGTTATATAAAGCATTCCAAAATGCAAAAACTTCAGAGCTTTTTACCGATCATGATTTCCAAAAATGTAAAATATATATGGTGAATCCAAAGGTATATACCATGCTTTTCTTTATTGACTTGAAGGGTATTAGAAGTACATGGTATGCTAGCTTTCACATATATTACAGCACCGTAGAATGTAGATAGATTTTCACTGAAACCATAAAACATATTACCCTATTAATTCTCGGCCATTTGTCACGTGATTAAATATACCAAGCAAACAGACACAACATACAGTACATGCTTAACAGATATTGTACATCTCATAGTAGCCAGAGAATTTTATTACAGCAATAAGAAAAGTCTCAAAGTGGGTGCATCTGATTGATTAGTTCATCATAAGCCTGATCAAGGTGGACATTTGCGCTTATACGGGCTACACGGAGGTTTTGGCGGGCTCCGCTTTGGGAGGCATCCTGGTATGTATCTGCCACGTCCGCTACAAACCGGCTTTCGCTTCAGTGCCGGAGCTGTGATATATTTATGCTCTGCATAATAAATTAATCGTCAATTATCACATGAACATTTCGTTGGCTTTAAAAATAAAGTATAAAAATTATTAAGCATACGCTAACTATTAGTTGAGATTTCCCTTTCGGGAAAAAAAAAAAAAAAAAAAAAAAAAAAAAAAAAACACGTGAATATGGTCTATAGACGTGATGGACCGCAAAACTAACTGGAATTACCATAGAATTAATCTCCACGTTGCCTAAGTAGAAGCGTGGCAACAATAAATTTCATGATTCTAATACATTTTAATTGTGTTATTAATAACTTTAAAAAGAAAAATGATTGAAATAGCACTTATTTATAATTACCTGCAGTAATAAAATTGGGAAAGAAGATAATGGTGGCCAAGATAATGCTTAGTACGAAAAGAACCTGCTTCGAGATACTCAAGTTGTTATTGCTCAAGTACTGCCAAAGGCAAGGAGCTGACGAGAACCTTTTTTTTTTTTTTTTTTTTTCACTTTGCATACCCTTTTTCGTCTTTTTCTAACATGCATGCATGTAATATTTATTTATCCAGACTAAACATGAACATAAGATACTAACATGAACATAAGATAGTAATTGGTCCAACATGAGATTAATCAATAAATTTCCCACTAATTCGTTCATATATCATCATATTCATATACGTGCATGCCTAATCCTAGTCATGAATTTCAACAGTATTAATCCAAAACAGTTAGAAAAGGATTAATTACACTTAATAATTAACTTGAGAAGAAATTGTTAAGCAACAATCAACAATCAACAATCAATGATTAAAGAATCCACAATTCTACAGAAAATTTCTATCGAAATTTTTGTATTTTGACATTGCCAATGGAAAGAAGGTACAATTTTCATTTTTTCCGTACAATATCAGCGATATTTCGGAACATGAGCACATTCCACCATGTAGATAACTAGCTCTTATCCACACCAAGCCCCACATAACACTTTTTTTTTTTTTTTTTTGGGCCAATGGCATTTTTTTTCCCTCATCATTGTTTTTCCGATTATGTCGTTTTTGCATTGCTGTTGTTTTGGTTGAATTTTGATATTGTCGTTCTCTATGCTAATATTCATTCTTGTTGTTGTGGTTGTTTCTTTTAGGTAATTATAATTTCTAAATATAGTTTTTGTTACGAATAATAGCTATTACCGGTCAAAGTTATTATGCAAGTCCATCAAAGTTATTGTTCATGTCAGAATTTTACTGTACAAATAGTACCGTAAATAGTAAGTATTATGCAAATAATGCAGAAAAATTTTCTAAATAAACTCTAAAACTCTTCATTTTATATACCTTCAAAAATTAATAAAAGTCTCTCTCTAGTAAGTATTGGTGATTGGTCAATTCAGTACTGCCGAAGGCAAGTTGCTGAGGAGAATTTTTTCTCTTTTTTTTTTCATTTTGCTTACCCTTTTTCGTCTTTTCCTAACATGCATGCATGTAATATTTATTTATCCAGACTAAACATGAACATAAGATACTAATATTAAGGAAAAGACAGATTGAAAAGTAAAGGAGCCATAGACGACCTGAGCATTGACTTGTGTCTTCCCAAAAACGCACAACGACTTGGTTAGCAAAATGGATGAAGAGCCACCATCCTTCATTTTACTTTAGTGGCCCTAAATCTTTCTTGGACTAATTTCCATGACAGCCTATGCTTTTTTCTTTTTTGAGTTTGAGAAATTTCCACTACAATTATATTTGATCAGTCATAGGTGGTAATTCTGTTTTATACCAATTATGATGAATGTCATGTGGAATAAAAGACTTATAAAACTCTTTTGCTGAAGTAATAAATATCTAACCCAAGAACACGCAATCAGAAGAAACGAATATAAGAGGAAACGACGACAAAAACAAATGAAACGGCAAACAAAAAAGAGAGAGGGGGAGAGAGAGAAAACACAGTAAATAGCAAACGACAGTAAATCATAAACACGACACCGAAAAGTAAACCAAAACAAAACCTGTAGAAACGACAAATTTATAAAGGAAACGACAACAAAGATGAAAAGAATATAAGCGTAAAAACTGCTTGTATGTGATCATCCCAACGACTTCAATAACAAAATAGAACAAGAAATCGTAGGGTCTATTTGATTCACGCGTTCAAGTTAGTGATTTTGATTCATTGACGGAAACTTTGTACGAAAGTTATTAGTGGGAAATTTTTGAACTCAATTTTTTGTGAAAGGAAAACATTGTAGTAAAATCAATGGAGAAAAAGGAAAATAGACCAAGACTTGAGAATAATTAAAATTAATAGGTCAATAATTTACATAAGTTAATAAATAGGTCAAATTATTGTTTTCGTCCATAATTTGTCTAGTTATGAACCATAGCTTGACAAGTTATTCCTAATTTTTGTCCATAACTTGTCTGCCTATGAACCATAACTTGACGAGTTTGTCCATAACTTATCTGGTTATAAACCATAACTTGACAAGTTATGGCCTATTAATTTCTATAACTAAAAGTTGGCCTATATACTTTCTTAAGCTTTTCATATCGACATATTTCCTACTATTTCCTTAAAATCAATTATTTAAGTTTGAGTATAAAACAAACGGGCCTTTAGTCAACAAATGAGTTGAAGAGTCATTAATATATGATCATTCATCGCAAGCCGCACAAGTTCGAATCAAGTTGATATATCACATACTTTTTAAAATATGGACCACTTATCTAATTTTTAGTGTATATTTCAAATAGAACTTGACTATATATGATAAATTTAAAAATTCAAAATACAATTCTTAACTTGATTTTTACATATTTTAGTGTTTGAGTCTATCAAAATTCTACACGTGACAAAGACCAAATCTCTTTTGTTGAAATATCAAATCCAAGAATTAGAAAGTTCATAGCTAGGAAGGCAATCTTTTAGTCGACCTTTCTTTATAGACATTGGTCACCGTCATTTCCGTTGTGATTTTATTACTTTAGGTTTAAGTAATTGGAGGTTAGTCATTGTGATTAGTGATCACGTTACTTAGAGAGCTAGCCATGCATGACTTATTATGTGCTACTAATTTTGATGACTTATTATGTGCAGGTATAACATGTGAATATGATCTATAGACGTGATAGACCATAAAACGAACTTGAAAATACCATAGAATTAATCTCCACGTTGCCTAGGTAGAAGCGTGCCAACAATAAATCATTATTCTAATTATTTTTAATTGTGTTATTAATAACTTAAAAAAGAAAAATGATTGAATTAGCACTTAATTATAATTACCTACGGTAAATTGTCGAGCTAGGATAAAATTGGGAAAGAAGATAATGGCCCGTTCATTTCACCAATTCGAGTTTTGTTACAGTAAAAAACTCTCAGAAACAATCACATATAATTTTTTTTACTACAGTAAAAAGCTCTTACATAAAGTCACATCTCAACTCAGATTAAAAACCCAAATCAAAAAACTAAACGGACTCAATGGTGGCTAAGATAATGCTTAGTACGAAAAGAATACCTGCTTCATCTTTATAGATACTCGAGTTGTTATTTCTAGTCTTAAAACTTATCCCCCTATTCAATTATTTATTGTAGTATGCTCAAGTATTGCCAAAGGCAAGGAGCTGAGGAGATTTTTTTTTTTTTTTCTCCATTTTGCTTACCCTTTTTCGTCTTTTCCGAACATGGATGCATGTAATATTTATTTGTCCAGACTAAACATGAACATAAGATATTAATATTAAGGAAAAGACAAATTGAAAAGTAGAGATGCTATAGACGACCTGAGCATTGACTCGTGTTTTCCCAAAAACGCACAAAGACTTGGTCAGCAAAATGGATGAAGAGCCACCATCCTTCATTCACTTTAGTGGCCCTAAATCTTCCTTGGACTAATTTCCAGGACAACCTATGCGTTTTTCTTTTTTGAGTTTGAGAAATTTCCACTCCAATTATATTTGATCATTCATAGGTGGTAATGCTGTCGTACACCAACTATGATGCATGGAACAAAGACTTATAAAGCTCTTTTGCTGAAGTAATAAATATCTAACCCAAGAACAAGAAATCAGAATAAACGAATATAAGAGGAAACGACGACAAAAACACATAAAACGGCAAACCAAAAGGAGAGAGAGGGGGAGAGGGAGATAGAGGGAGGAAGGGGGAAAACACAGTAAATAGGAAACGACAGTAGACCGTAAACACAACACCGAAAAGTAATCGAGGGCAAAACCAGTGAAAATGACAAATTTAAAAAGGAAACGACAACAAAGATGGAAGGGATATAAGCGTAAAAATTGCTTGCTGTGATCATCGCAACGATGACAATAACAAAATACAACAAGAAATCATTGGGCCTATTTGATTCACGCATTTAAGTCAGTGATTCTGATTCATTGATGAAAACTATATAAGAAAGCTATTGGTGGGAAATTTTTAAACTTAAATTTTTTGTAAAAGAAAAATATTGTAGCAGAATCAATAATTTGAGTTTGAATATAAAACAAACGACCCTGTAGTCGACCAAAGTTGAAGAGTCATTAATATATGATCATTCATCGCAAGCCACACAAGTTCAAATCAAGTTAATATATCTCATACTTTTCGAAATATGGACCACTTATCTAATTTTTAGTGTATATTTCAAATAGAATTTGACTATATATGATAAATTTAAAAATTCAAAATACAATTTTTAGCTTAATTTTTACATGTTTTAGTGTTTGAGTCTATCAATTGAGGTGACATAATAATTGATTTGACACTATTTTAGATAGCAATTCTACACGTGACAAAGACCAAATTTTCATTTGCTGAGATATCAAATCCAAGTATTAGAACTTTCATAGCTAGGAAGGCAATCTTTTAGGCGACCTTTCTTTATAGACATTGGTTACCGTCATTTCAGTTGTGATTTTATTACTTTAGGTTTAAGTAATTGGAGGTTAGCCATTGTGATTAGTGATCACGTTACTTAGAGAGCTAGCCATGCATGACTTATTATGTGCTA